TACAGCCCACATGGCATAAATCCAGAAAAGGCCGTAAGTCAGGCCCAAAAGCATTGAGAAGACTTGAGGCAAATATTGACGGGACACGTCATAGAAGTGTCGACAAGTCCGAAATCACGAGCTTTGAATGTGACATCAACGAATTCAAGATCACGAGCTTTTCACGAGATGTCGACAAATTCAAGATCACGAGTTTTGCACGTGACGTCGACAAGTCCAAAATAATGAGTTTTGCACGTGGTCTGAAATTATGGTGACACGTGGCGAAAAATCCATTTACACGTGTCAAAAAGTAAAGATATGACCGTGGGCATGAAGATCAAGAAAGTTAAAGAATGACACTTAGAAAATAGCAAGAAACAAAGAGACACGTGGAAGAAAATCAGCTATTACGTGATGCCCAAGGAGCGTAAGCAACATTGATAAGTCAGGAAGCGGTTAAAGCGCGAAACGTAAAGAAGTGGAAAACGACTTTCAAGGAGAAGTGTTCGGTCAACAGTTATCAAGCTGCTCTATAAATACTCAAGGATTTCCAACGTAGAAGGGACCTCTTCGAAAAAAACAACACAACACGTCTTTTATCTAGCCTTTATTCTTAGCGCATTAGGAGTAGTTTTAGTTGCAACCTTCAGATTCTGTGTTGTAGATTCAATTCCGACGAGGGTCTTTATCAGGTTCAGCATTATTGATTAAATTCCAATGTTGTGCCACCAGTTCAGCGTCGTCGATTAAATTCCGGCGTTGTATTTGGAGTATAGCTGTTGATTAGATTCCGGCCATATTCTTTCAAGTTACGTCATTGATTAAATTCTGGCGTACTATGAATGGTAATGTCGCATATTAGTTGTATCGATGATCAGATTCCTACATAGCTATCTCAACATTTGCAAGTTGTCGTTTCATTATTAGTATTATCGGGTTTGGCATCATATCGAGTCAAGTGTAAGATCTAAATTGGAGTTAATAAACGCATTTGATATTCTCTGTCCAAACTTGACTCAAGACCCTAGTCTCCCCTAATAAAATCCGAAACGCAGTGCTCGGTGAAAGATTTTCGACGGAGTAAAAACCGGCGAAACATAGGGTAACATCCTAAATGTTACGAGGTCTTTGTTAAGATCCTTCTAAAAGTCGTAATACACATCTTCATGGCTAAAAACTGGCAGTGATCGTGCCAAACAGTTTCCAGAAAATCGGACCCGTTTAGTAATCGTATCTAACCACAGCCTAATTATGAGTGTGAATAGGTCATAAGCTCGCTATATACACTGTGATTACTAAGGTAGGATAATACGGCCATGCATGCGGAGGGAGAACCCGATTTCACGCCTCGGGTATTCCTTTTTCCGGTGACTAGAGAAGCAACGTAGCCGCTAACCCTATTGCAGACTTTCCCGCACTTCGACCGGCTCTCGACTATGTAGAGAGGGTCCATATAACCCTATTCATCTCTCTCATGTTGGATTTTACATGTCTAATTAGAGAGAGAGAGGGGTTACAAACTTCCATTTTGAATGGCGTCGGATAGAATTATCTAGAGCAAATGTGGTGCGACCATACTCGAGAGGGTTACCAAATAATAGTCCGTGGCATATCTTTGATGACGGAGCGAGAATGACCCATGCCAGGCGATGCCATTCCGGAAGATGGAGGTTCGCAGCTCCATGATGTCCTCTGTCTTCTCGATGAGCTCGACCGCACATATGTCTCCGACTCGCGGGGTACTTCTGTTTTGCGGAATCTCCCCCAACGGGAGGTACTTGCCGCTGTCTCGGCCAAACAATGGCTTCACCGTCCACCATTTGATCTTTGGAGTGCTCCTTCACAAAGCCATCTGGTATGTGTACTGCATAGCCAAACCCCATTCATCAGCTTGAGTATTCTCACCTGGACAGGTTGATTATCTAATTTAGTATAGACTCATTCATTAGCAAGTTGACATCTTCCAGACACGGAAAGTTAGTAAATTGCATTAATCACGTCTCCCGAGATTCAATTATGTAAAATATACATGCGTACATTTCAAAAGCATTTTGAATATAATAAGTAATGTTATAAAGTTCACCCAAAAGCTTAAGCTAATAGGTACAAAAAGATCACTTGTATATTCAATGTGAGATATTATAACATCCATTATCACGGGCAAGCCGGATTAGTAATCTTTCTGCTTGACCGCTTTTTCGGAAACTATAATCATTAGGAGGTTCATTAGAATTTCACCACTTAAAATTAGTTCCATGCAAAGCATGAAGCAATAATTCCATGTATGCAAATCACTTTGAATGTCGTAAAACAGAACTCTCTTTCCTGCTAGGAGGACGGCGCAGTTGTAGTGAATTTGTGATGGTGGCATGTTGACCACAAGTTTCAATTTAGAAGAGTTGGGCAGCCGGATGTTATGAAGTGCGGAATAGATTTATTTTATTAAAGAATTATTACTGGTGGCGCATCTATTTTTATCCGAAAATCAAAATCATCCCTATATTTTTTCTATGTTAAAAAATGCGCTACGTTAGTCCTTCCGTTATAATTTTTCTTTTGCCGGTGGATTTTTGTTGACATGAATTCCAGAATCGCTTACGCAATCATTGGAATACATGTGTCGAGCTATGATTTGCTTCACATTATAATGTGTCGCCAAATAGGCACCACATCAAACAATATAAAAGAAAACAAAATAGAGAGAGAGAGAGAGGGGGCGTCTGTCATGGCCACCATAGCCGCAAGCTCAAGCTCTAAGCGTGTAGGCAGACATGAATGTACAAGTGCATGGGCGCAAGCTTAATCTGCATTGATCATGTTGGCTAGATCTTTTTTATTTATGGAAATCCCACCAAAGAAACCGGACAAGCTCCTCGGAAAAATATGGGGTCAAGATTGCACCGTCACTCTGCCAAGAGAAAACCACTCTCTCATCTATTCCTTGGGGAAATAGTCGAGTGTGAGTATCTCTTCACCTTTCACGTACAAGGATTCACGTACACATGCATTCACTTACTTGACCATTATATAGCTTAATTTTTATTTCAATGAACATAGCTTAATGTGTCGTGCTAATACGAAACGATAAAGTTTTGTGCTTGTCGCAACGCGTAAGGAAGATAAAAGTTAACGAGCTTTCTGGAGCACTTGTTAATTGTAACTAATTGAAGTGATCATGAAATTAGCAACCTCTAGTCCTGAATGGATGGACTTAGCCAAGAAAATTGGCCTGCATGGACAAGCATGGCTATTAATTTGGGCCCAATGGATTTTTGGGCCAAGTCCAACTCGCCCATTTATTTGTCCGAAAATACAAACATCGGAACCTTAATGCTGATTGAGTTGGTCGGACTAACCCGATATTTTCCCACGAACTTCTTGAGGGGAATCATCTATAGAGGAGACGGAAAGTATCAAGATAAAAGTAACTATATTGGGTTGGAGCATATAAGCTCTTCATTATGCCATACTCAAGGGGGAAAAGTAGGATTTTTAAAATAAACCAATTTGCCATATTAAGTAAAAAGAATATGTGCACCGTAAATCCTAAAACTTGTCATGAAAGTACAATTGAATTCTAAAACTTGCAAAAAGTACAATCAAGTCACAAAACTTATCAAATTGGTGCAATCGAGTCCTTCTGTTAACTCCGTCTAACTTGACTAACGGAAAATACCGATGTGGGTTTTTTCTCATAATTTCTCTCTTCTACATGGCAATGATGTGGTTAAAATATAAAACATAAAGCTAAAATGACGTTGTTGTGGTCCAAATAGGATTTTTAAAAGAAGATTTATTTAAATTAAAGTAAAAAATAAACTAAAATAAAAATAAAGGAAAAATAAAGGAGAGTTAGACCAGGCAACGCAGTTGCAAAGCCCGCCGCGACCGCCCTACCATCGACAAGAAGGGTTGGCGATGGTGGGGAAATGGTAGCTGATGGCCATCGGGTCCCTGCCCTCGCCTAGTTCTGATTCTAACCTTTTTTGTTTATTTTAGCTTATTTTTTTAATTTAATTTAAATAAAATTTGTATTTAAATCAAATTTGGACAAAAAACTACGTCGTTTTAGCCACGTCATCGCCACGTATGATAGAGAAAATAATTTTAAAAAATCACGTCAGTATTTTCTGTTAGTCAAGTTAAACAAAGTTAACAAAATGACTCGATTATACCGAAATGACAAGTTTTACAAATTGATTGCACTTTTTGTAAGTTTTAGGACTCAATTGTGCTTTTGTAACAAGTTTTAGGACTTCCAATGAACATATCCGTAAGTAAAATCTGAAAATAAACTAGTTTGCCATATAATTACGGCAAACTGGTTTATTTTCAAAATCTTATCTCATTTTCTTTTATGGAAAATTGGATTATTTTCAAAATCTTTTTTTGTTCCCCCGTTAAGTATTGCATAGTCAAGAGCTTACGCGTTCCAAATTAAAAACTAAGTTAGTAGCCAAAAGAAGTTCACAGGAGAAGAGAAGCTTACAATCCGGCCGCTTCGAGTCTCATCGGCGAGAATAATCCCAAATAATATGGGGAGTCTCAGCCTCGAAAACAGCTCTTCGTCATTTCAAGAGAGATAACAAGTATGAATGAACCGCTACGAGCCCCACTTTTTTCTTTTTTCTTTCCTTTTGCCGATTTTTGGTGTTACAGTTCTTGAGGGGAAGAGGTTCTTTGAGTACCTTCGGTATTCAGTGAATCGGTTCAAGACTTCAATTTTGTCCTTCGAGTTTAAGGATCGCAATGCCAAACGACCAAGGACCCACACTGTCTGCCTGCGCTCATTGCATTCATTACGAAAAACTTCATTTGCTAAAATTTCATAAGAAAAACAATGCCAAAGTCATCTGCATTTCTCCACCAGAGCCCAGCAAGCCAGGGACCAGACTTGACTCACATCTCTACACCAGTCAAAAGTGATCACACCGATCTAGATCATTTGCATGCACTAAGCAAAAACACGGTATCTCCAAAAGAAGAGGCACAAGTGTATCAGTCCAAACGATCTTAGTCCACAAGATCAATGGTCCAGACAATCTTAGTCCACATGATCTATAGACAGTGCTAAGCCAGCTCCTATAACTCTCCAAAACATTTCTCTTCCTCAGCGAAAAGAACAAAAGTTGTTCCTGCCCTTCCTTGAGAAAAGCATCAAAACTCCATTTTTTAAGCCCGTTTCTCATAAGCCGGACCAGCTCCATTCCTTCCTGCTCTGCTCATTATCCTCAACGCGATGGCATCGCCGCTACCTCGACGGTATTCAAACATCAGGGTGTCACCAATTGCGAAGCGGTTCGCTTTGACCACTCGTGGCCACCCACTAATACTGGTGCGCTTGACATATTGGCGCAACTGGACCGGCCACTTCCTCCCCAGTGGATCTTCTATGACCACGCTTCTCTTTGATTTTAGCCTCGCCTCTCTTGCAAAAGCTGCTGGAAGATTCTGAAATCCCAACATTTACAATCAGTACAAAGTAGGTCTTCCAACTAGTATATTTAAATCGAGGAAAAATACTCTTGGAGAGGAATAACGATTTTAGATTTGACTAAATCATAAAATTTGAAAGATTTTGACAAGAATATGTCCGGATATCCTTTCAGCGATGAATAAAATCAGGAACAGAGTTCTTGTATGTCTCCTAGTAATAACAAGAACCCTTTTCCTCAAGCACAAGATGAGAGTCATGCCACAGTTTTGACTCGAAAAAATGCAGCAAAAGAAGCAAATGCGAACTGCGCATAGGTCCCAGTCCCACTAAATCACCTGTGACTGTGCAACTGAGTACCCATGAATTCGACGAACAAAATAAAACAAGTCCATACTTACAAGCCAACGCATTTGAAATTTCCTCATGGAGCACACAAAATAAGGATGCCTAGCAGGCATGTTACTTTCAACCCCCATAAGCGACTCTTCCTCCTCTTTTTTGACCTCATCGAATGGACCGCTTTTTTCTTCAGCATATGCACCTGCATGCCTTGAAGAATTCCGTGACTACTTTCTTACAGAAAAATCAAGCAGGAATGAACAAGAAAACAAGGGCTTAGAGCTCACCAGGTTGTCCTCCATAACTCCTTGTAGAAATGGTTTTTCTCTCGCAGCAATCTGTGTCATATACGACCACTTCAAATGTCTCCTGACCAACCATTGAGAAAATTACCAGCTCCCCTAATTCCAAGTGTAGGTCCTTAACAAACTCTGCAAGACCTTGTGAAAAGGGGTAGCCCTCGTCACTTTCTTCTGTCATAATGAACCATGACATCCCGCCACATTTAACAAGAAGTTTCTTCGGTACATTTCCCTGGAAATTCTTCAGAAAAGCTGGCGGGATTTTCTGCGCATAAGTAAAAAAATCTGTGATGTATTTCTTATTGGATATCCACCTTCCCTCACCAAAATAACATGAAATGAAAATACTGTTCCAAGGAAATGCTTCAACAGATTCATAACAAGTATCTACTGCTTTTTAGATCATAATCAGGTTTTCAGACATTGTGAAGGAAAATTCGTTGTCGTGTGTTAGGGGGGAAAAGTGGGAAACTCTGTATATAACAACATACACTACTAGGCAAGGTCCTAATGATGAGACAAAAAGTTGAATCCTGGTTCTGTTAAGAGTAAACAATTTGGAGATAGATGTGTATGAAAGAAGACTCACTTGATGTCATAAATTGATCTAGAATTCAAGAAATTGTCCGCCCATTTTAGACTAGGTGGTATAGCGACAATGCAAGTATGTCGCTACGGCAAAATGATATCCAAAGAAAGTCCATGTTTTCTTTCTGCCTGCATCTAGATTTCGAAGTGAAAGAGAAACCGACATTGTCTATTATTTAAGAGACCACTTTCAAAGGCCTGGTATCTTACCGCAAATGAGTTTCCTATTTACAAAGACTGAGACAGAGAGTCGGTGAATGCCAAGCAATACACCGTGCCACAAATCAAATCCTCCACAAACCACTCCCCCCCCCATCAAAAGACAACCTCTTCATATGATGCATTTAAGGGAACCTTGTTTTAGTTGTGCTGAAGCAATAAGGTGCAAATAACTCAGAGAGACAGAGACAGAGAGAGATAGAGAGACAGAGAGGAGGGTTACGATCTTGCGGGTGAAATCGCCTAGCAACTTCTTGAAGAAAGAAGGGGGACGCTCGCTCCGCTCCATGGCCATCTCCATTCTGTCGAAGGTGAAGGGGTGGAGATAACGAAAAGCCTCTACAAATAATTTAGTGTTTGCAACGACGCTTGCTCTCTCAGCGTCCACTCCGCGATCATAATTACTCGCACTGGTTTCTCGAAAAGGGACGCTGGAGAGGGAAGCCCAAAGATCAGGAGAAATGCATTGATGGAACTCCACGCTTGAGAGGGAAGCTCAAAACTTTTTTGTACTAAATATATAATCAACATGTATTTTGAGATCACTAGTTAACAAAAATCTTTTAATTTTTTCCATTTCAAAGATCGAAAAACTATTTTCAATACATTTTCTGTCCAATATTTTACTACTTGCTATTGTCTTAAATTAGTTTTCATTCATTTGTGACGCACGGATTGCAAATAGAAATCTTGCTCTAACCTACAGCATTTATAGAAGTACAATTCAAGTAATTTTTTATTATTATTACTACCACAGAGTTTTCCCTGCACACTTGTTAAACGCTAAATTTAAAAAAATTGTAATTTTCGATATTTTATCTTACTCGTATTATGTTTAACTAGTACATCAAAGATCAAAACTTTTTTGTATAAATATAGTCAACAAGTATTTTGGGATCACTCGTTAATAATATCTTTATAAAAGTTACTGATTTTTTCCATACCAAAGATCGAACAACTATTTTTTGTTTCCAATATTTTGTGAAATTCAGGTTTTTATTATTATTAAAGTGCCATTTGGATTCATTTTCTTTTTTGTTCTAATTCATAATAATGAAACCTTTAAATTTGTTTCCAATTTATTCAAATTATTCACAGTGAAAAATAATATTTGGTTACTCCAAACAATAACATGTTATTTAACATCAGTTTCACTAAACAATGCATGTCCTTTATACAAGGACATTATACTTTTTGTTTATGTTAGCGCGCTGTAATACATTTCATTCATAAGTTAAGTACTTGACATTGATATTAACTACTAAGGACTAACGAAAGCACTGCAATCTTTATTTGTTGATAGCCTTCAGAATTAGGGTTAATACCACGAAAAACCCCAAACTGGAACACATGTGATAGATTTACCCCGAACTGATTTTTTTACCATCAAAAACCCCAAAACTATTACACTTATGACAGATTTACCCTAAACTAATTTTGACAACCAAAAACCCAAAACTGATACACTTGTGATAAATTTACCTCTCCATGAAATTGGATTAATACCATGAAAAATCACAAATTGATAAACTTGTAATAAATGGAGGGATAAAACCCCAAACTAGTATACTCGTCAACTGTTACGTATCATCCAACTCAGCAATTTGACGGTAAAATTTAAAAGCAACTAACGGAAGGTAAATTTATCACAGGTCTACCAGTTTGGAGTTTTTCGTGATATTTACCTCAAGAAATATAATCCATTTGCTAATTTAAGAAAACAACGGTACTACTTATTAATCAACATAAGAAATTATAATTATTCAAAGACAAACAAAAATTCAAAAGCAATAATTGCTCTTATAATATGATGTTGACACCTATTTTTAATTTGCCCAAAATGAATTGCACAAAATTTAGGAGTTAATTTTCTTTAATTCCTAAAACAAAAATATTTCAATTTAAATGCATTGCATATAGAAATTAGGCACATTTTGCATTAATAGGGTATATTAGAGAAGATTAATTAAAAAAAAAAAATTTCGAGTCGGGCCGGGTCGGGGCCGGGCCGACCCGGCCCTTTTCTTTTTCTTTTTTCTTTCCCCCCGCACGGGCCCCGGCCCTTTTCCTTTTCGTTTTTTCCCCCACGCGGGCCCGGCCCGCCTTCTTCTCCTTTTCTCCTTCTCCCCACGCCGGCTGGGCCTGGCCCGGCCCGGTCCTCCTCCTTCCTTCTTCCCCCCCGTCGCTCTCGCCGCCCCTGTTCGCCTCTGTGCTCGACGGAAGCGTGACGCACAGCGGCGCCGCTTCTCGCCGTCGCTGTCCGGCCAGAGGAAGGCCGAAGGAGCACGCCGACGGGACTGGCATTAATTGCCAGTCCCGTCCTCCCCGTTTCCCCGGCTCCCTTATCCTCTCCTCCTTCCTCTCTGCGTTTGTATTGAACCGGCCCCCCTGCTCTGCCCTGCTCTGCACCGGCCTGCCATGGCCACGAAAGTCGTGGGGTGGCGTAGGCCGGTGCAGGCTGTCATCATGCAGACGCGAGAGCAGGTGAGACGCGTCGTCGCCGCCTATAAAAGCCGGAGAGAGAGAGAGAGGCCCGGTCGGCCGTTTTGAGATATAGAGAGAAGCCGGGAGAGAAAGAGAGAGACGGAGCGAAACAGAAGAAACTGAGAGCTCTTCCGGCGGCCACCGCGCCTCAGCCATCCATCCCCGTCGCCGAGCCGACGGCGGCGACACAGAGAGAGAGAGTCCCGGTCGGCCATTTTCATTGAGAAACAGAGGAGAGAGAGAGAGAGAGAGAGGAATAGAGCAAACCGAGGCCACGCCGGAGCAGGAAGGACAACCAGCAGCATCGCCGTCGCCCACGGAATAGCCAGAAAGCCGCCCCGACGAGCCGTCACCGGTGAGCTCCCCCCCGGCCGAGACTCCCTGTCCTGCTCTGTTTTTTTTACACGGTCGGGCCGGGATTCATGCCGGCCGTGTCGCGTGATTCCCAGTCCATGCCGTCGCCGGTCCCAGTCCCTAGTCTCAGTTGAGAACCAGCCGTAGCCGCCGGAGCCGACCGGTTCGTCGGAGGAGGGCAAAACACCTCAGTTTTTGGCACACGCGCCAACTGTTTGACGAAATGCCTCAGTGAGGCTGGTTTCGTTTTGGTCGCCGGCCGGCGAACAGCTGGCCGGACGGTGAGTCCAGGTAAGTGGTGAAGCTCGACGTTCAACCAGGAAGCAGGCTTGGGGGCGGTACCGGTCTGGGTCGGCCGGCGGACGACCATTTTTGGCTCCGCCGGCGCCTCCCCGCGGGTCTGTATGTTCGGGTCGGATTCGACCTGAATCAACAGATACGCCCGGGTCGGATCCGTTGACTCGGGTCGGTTCCGACCGACCCGGATTAACAGATCCGACCCGGGTCAACGCCCGGGTCGGATCCGTTGACCCGGGTCGGTTCCGACCCGATCCGGATTGACCGATCTGACCCGGGTCAGCGCCCGGGTCGGATCCGTTGACCCGGGTCGGTTCCGACCCGGCCCGGATCCGCAACCCGACCCGGTTTAATATTTTATTAATATTAATATTAATATTTTTATTTTATTTTTTTTATTTTATTTTAAAAAAATTTTAAAATTTTTTTATTTTTTTTTATTTTATTTTTTTTTCCTTCTGTACTATATATATATATTTTGAAAAAAAAAATTTTTAAAAGAAAAAAGAAAAGATCTTTTTTTAAAAATTATTGTGTGATATATTCTAAATGTTTAAATTTATTGTATTATTATGCATGTTTTTTTCCATGTTTAAATTAGACAAACCTGAAGTTGCGCGGTAGTACTTTGCGTGTTATTTTTATTACCGTTGTATTATTATGCATGTTTTTAGTACAATTACATGAGCTGTTGTGTTTTTTGAATGTCATCTGACTTAGTTAAGTTAGAACCCTAGGTTGCATATTTAGCTTGACTGCTAATCGTTTCTGATTATGCACTCGCTTGATCACCTCACATGTTAGGAGAAAGGTCTTAAAATCAATCCAAACTGCCTGATAAATGTTTTAAAAAAATGAACAAGGTAAAATGGTACCGAAAGGGCATTAGTTATCTAACTAGTGTAACCAAGTCCCCGAACTCGGTTAATCTCTGGTTCGCAGGAATAGGGTGATTCTCCCATCACCCTATTTGGGTTTCTAATCGGCCCATCCCAAATCGATTAGTGGCGACTCCTTGATATAAACCACTTGCATGTTAAAAAACTTAAACCCTAAGTCGCGATATGGTATGGGCTTGGGAGAGCCCGAGTTAAGTCACAAACCTAGACTTAGCACGTACCAGGCGAGCCCCCCTTTTTTGCATGTTCGATAAAAAAGGGCTCGGGAGTTCGGTCGCGACATATGATATGAGAGGCATCACTATGAATGGTAATGATATGCGGCTGCCATTAATTTTGCAATTGCATGCCTCACAAAAATTTCAAAAGCACCAGTAGCTTTTATTAATGTTATGATGAACAAGTAAAAGATATAGGTCCTTAGATAAAATAGTCTTTTGGCTCCAAGTTTTATTACGTTGATATAATGTTAAAGCTAATCAAAATCATTTTTTCTATTTACGAAAAGCAAAAAGTTTCTACTTTCAAACTTATATATTCATTGATTTTTTGTTTAATATATCTTGTTATCGAGAGTAATCCAGACAGCTTTTTCATGTCAAAAAAAATGTTCTTTCAAAAACACAAAAACTATTTATACAAACATAACCAAAACGGCACTAAATTGCCATGAAGAACTTAAAGAACCTACAGATTCTTATTGGGCTTTTTATCTCTTTAGGCACTTTTTTTTTTCCTTCGGATTCTTATGCATCTCCTTTTTTTTATGTAAATGATAGATCTGTCCACATGGCTGCTGTATTTTTTCTCTCGATGGACCGGTCTTACCAATTTCTCAAACTATCACAAAAACTCTAAAACTAGTACCCATAATACATTTACGAGAGACCAATTTTGTGTCATAAAAAGTAAAATGAACTTTTTGAAGAAAAGGATGAGTTTGAGACAAAAGATGGGAATGAGGGAGTTAGACAAAAAAAAAATGAATTCTTTGATCCGTCTGAAAGCCCCTCATTGATTGATATGAAGAGATCCAAGGTTGGGATCTCTTTTGCTATTTGCAATGTACATTCTTTGAATTATATGTGATTCAAATTTATGCTTCGACCGAACAAGTAACTAAGTCCATACGTAAATAGAATAATGGCAATGTAGAAATTGCAAATCAACTTTTATATAAATAGAATAATGGCAGTGTAGAAGTCTTATATATATGGTAACCTGTATTCAAGAAATGGGAAAACGACACTAATAGTTTTTAAACTTTGGCTTAATGTGTAATGTTTCCTTGTCCAATGTAGTCTTTCAATTATTTTTTAATGATAAATGCAGTCCTTTTGTTTGATCAAATAGGGAGAAAGTCACTCCAAGTCCTTAACCTATTGTGAAATGTGCAATCTACCGTGGCCCAGATTTTCGAATGTCT